GACAGGAACTCACGAAGGGCAAGAAGCTAGAGGCAAGAGACGATGCAGAGACTATGAAGGCTGGCACTTACTGGCTTGTTCCGCATGGCTTGCTCAGCCTGCGTTCTTATACAACCCAAGTTCCCCTGCCCAGAGGCATCCCACTTACAGTGGGCTGTGCCCTTCTAATCAATCATTGATCAAGAAATACCCCGCACAATTGCGTACAGGTCAACTGCTAGAGGCGTTTCCTCAATCAAGGTTTCCTCCTCTCAGAACACTATAGTTTGTGTCAAATTTACATAAATCTAGCCAGCCTACACTGCTACCCCATGAAACAGAAATTTGCAAGTTCTGGCCGAATCACAGTAAATATGCGACAAATACGGCCGTTCCGCCACTTGTCAGCTCTAAGACAAGAACACGTATTTAAGTCAAGGATGAACGGCTCATGTTGAAATTTCTAATGCTTGCACCGGCAGTGCCTTCTGTGTGCCAAGAACCCAGTCCACACACACATATTTTACCTCATGAACTATTCAACAACCTGCACAGCAGGCATGTTCATTCCTGTTTAAGATGGGAGAATGGGTCTCAAATATCCAAGCAATTAACCTAAGATCACAAGGTGAGAGGAAGTAGGGAGAACTCAGCATGACCTCCCCACCACGTCACATTGCTGTAGCACACACCAGTCGTCACACAATAAGACATCATTTTTAGTACTTCATCTTGCACTTAGACTAGAGACGCTTGAGGAGCCAATAAATTGCTCCCAAAACCTAAGTATATTCATAATTCCTTTAAACAGTAGAGGCTGAAGGGAGATAGGCACAAATTCTGAAGTTATTAGGTGCAGAAACTCTGCACTAAGTTCACTCAGTAGGAAGGCCTCGGGAGACAAGTCACAGAGGATTCAGAAGGCATCTGACGGGGTTCCATCTGGTTCTAAGAATCCAGTGCTCACCATTTATGTCTGCATTTCTTTCCTGGGGACCTAGTCAGTAGGACACAGCACTCTTTTTAGTGTCAGGCACTTGACAGTAGGGTATCCCTTCTGGCCACCAATGAAAAGCCACAGAAGGCTCTCCATACATTGGGTTTTGATCCTATTGCACGTACTGGCTTTGTGGGAGCCTAGACTGTTTGGATGCTTACCTTACTAGACCTGGAAGGAGGTGGGAGGTCCTTGGACTTCCCACAGGGCAGGGAACCCTGACTGCTCTTGGGGCTGATGAGGGAGGGGGAGTTGACTGGGGGAGGGAGAGGGAAATGGAAGGCGGTGGTGGGGAGGAGGCAGAAATCTTTAATAAATAAATAAAGAAAGAAAGAAATAAAGAAGGCTCTCCATAGCCTTGGCTGATTGTTTCGACCTATTCTTGAATAAAATTGTCTTTGGTTCAGTCCATTCCTCAGAGGCGAATTCCCCTCTGGGTGAAGAATATTGTTTCATTCTAGAGAAAGTGGCCACCCTGAAGTGGGTATCCTAAGTGGACTGTTTGTTAGGAAATAACCATGCCTGCTGTGGTAGTTTGAAGGAGAATGACCCCATAAAGTCATAAATGTGAATGCTTCATCACTAGAGAGTGGGACTCTTTAAAAGGATTAGAAGGATTGGGAGGTGTGGTCTTGTTGGAGGAAGTGTGCATTGGGGGTAGGCTTTTATAATATGAAGGGCTGGCTTGTTGGGGTTTCTGACCCACCCAGTATCCCACAGCCAGCATGCCCCAAAGAAAATCACAGAGATCTCCATAAGTTATAAAACTGATTGGCCCATTAGCTTAGGCTACTTATTAGCTCTTGTAGCTTATATTAACCCACTGTTCTTAGCTATGTTAGCCACTTGGCTTGGTACCTTTCTCAGCCAGGCAGGTTACATCTTGCTTCTTGGTGGTCTGGGCAGGAATGGGAGGAATGGGCTTCTTCCTTCCTAGCATTCTCCTGTTCTCATTGCCCTGCCTCTACTTCCTGTCTGGTTGACACACCTATACTTCCTTCCTGGCCAATCAGAGTTTATTTAAAACATGATTGACAGAATACAGACAATTCTCCCACACCAGGCTTTGAGGTTTCAAAAGCCCATGCAAGGCCCAGATTCCCTATGTATGGATCAAGATGTAGCTCTCAGCTACTGCTCTAGCACCTGCCTACTTGCCACCATGATCCCCTGCCAAAATAGTGGATTAGCTCTCTGAAACTATAAGCAAGTCCTGCATCAAATGATATCTTTGTAAGAGTTGCCTTGGCTGTGAGTATCTTTTCATAGCAGCAGAACAGTAACTAAGACACCTGTCTTCTTCTTCTTCTTCTTCTTCTTCTTCTTCTTCTTCTTCTTCTTGAGACAGGGTTTCTCAGTGTAACCTTGGCTATCCTGGAACTCACTCTGTAGACCAGTCTAGCCTTGAACTCATAGAGATCCACATGCTTCTGCCTCCCAAGTGCTGGGATTAAAGGTGTGCACCACCACCACCTGGCTTAAACCTGTCTTCTTTTAATCTTTCTTTATAAAACATGTTTTATTATAGTCAGATTATTTTATGATTCTTTGTGCCTCTGTGTGTACATGCATGTGTGCATGCCTGTGTATGTGTGTTTGGAGTTGGGGCTGTACATGTGTGTATGCATGTGTACAAGCATGAAAGTGCATGTGGCTGTGGAGGTCCGAGGACAACCTCAAATGCCCTCAGGTGCCTTTGACCTTTCTGTTTGAGACAGAATCAGTTATAGCTTGCCTTCCTGGAACTATGCAAAGTATACCACACTAGCTGGACAGCATGCTAGAAGGATCCACCTGTCTCTACTTTCAATTTCAGACTAAGGGTGTGCCACCATGCCCAGTTTTTTTAAAAAACAAGCTCCCAAGATGGCTTTAATGACAAAGCTATCTCTCTAGCTCCTATTTATAATTCTCAAAACATTTGCCTTGTCCTACTAAAGAGTACTTGATTTATATAAAACTTGGAGTTGTTTCCAAAGGGTCTTAAAACTCCCCTTCTACTTAAGTGTTTAACACCACAACATCTTTCCTATTTGTTATAAATGAGTTAATGCAGATTTGGCAAGACTGCAACACAATTCATATTATTTTTCCCTTAGGGCTTCAAGATTGAATATTTTCCACTACCAAGATCTGCAGTTACAAAGGAAACCCAGGAATCAGTGAATCCTCATTTCAAAGATGATCACAGCACACCAATGAAGGAAGAAAAATTGATTTTGTTGCAGAGATGTGAATGTTATACAAAATATAGGAGCCAAAATGCTAAATGGGAGTTTGCAGATTCATGCTGAACCCAACTGTGTGGGTTATCTCAGGGTCATAGAAGGTACCAGAGACCGATACAAGAAGGCACAGTTCTTGTCTTTGGAATTTCCTGCTTCATGGAAATGTCTGCTGGATACTATGGGCCTGTAGGCTGAAGATTGATGACCCAATGGTACTAAAGAACTTTGGGTGACTGTCCAGACAGCGAGATGTCTCTGTCATTTCTAGAGTTTTGGAAGTTGTTTTCTTAGGTAATATTATATCCTTCTGGAGTCTTTGATGGAGTTGAAGAATGGATAGTTATAGTTTTCCTTAGTTATGATAAAAGATAAAATAGATATAAATATTGTAACTAATTCTTACTTGATAACTTTTGTTATATGTAATTTTACTATGTTAAAGTTAAAGCCTTTCTTTTTTGTTTAAACAGAAAAAGGGGAAATGATGGAGGTGGGTCTTGTATCTATCTGTTGCTTTCATTAACTAATAAAGAAAACTGCTTGGCCTTTGATAGAACAGAAAATTAGGTAGGTGGAGTAGACAGAACAGAATGCTGGGAGAAAGAAGCTGAGTCAGGCAGTCGGCATTATTCTCCCACTCCAGACAGACGCAGGTTAAGATCTTTCCTGGTAAGCCAGCTCATGGTGCTACACAGAATATTAGAAATAGATTAGATCAATATGTAAGAGCTAGCAATAAGAGGTGGGAACTAATGGGCCAGGCAGTGTTTAAAAGAAAAAAAAAAAGAAGAAGGCACAGTTCTGGGCCCAGCTCAACTTCTTCCGGTCTATGTGCCTTTGGATTCTGAGCAGTAAAACTGAGATGACAGCCTCCTTGCCTGCCATTTCACTGGATTGCTTTGAAGAGAGGATGAGATGTTGCATATTCCATGCCCAGAAAACAACGCACCACCCTGTCAAAGGCAGAGCTAGTTTTGCAGAGGCTGTTAGCATTTATTCTGCATCAAGGAATGCTAGAACTTTATCCTCTCAGTTAATCCTCTAATAGCTTGCCGTCAGATCACCCTTTCTATCCACCATGGCATTCTAAAAACTGTCTCAACTTAGTGGCTGAGAGACTATGGAAGTAAAGTCACAACTAAGCTGCAAACCAAACCTCCACATTCCATGGATTCGGGTCCTACCTCCTCCCCAAGCTGCCATGAAGTGTGTATTTTAAAACTCAAACCATATTTTATTTATTTATTTGTGTAAAGAGAGAGTGTGTGTGCGCATATGCAAAGGCATACCACAGAATGCGTGTAGGACAGAGGGCAACTCTCAGGACTCAGTTATCTCCTTCCGCCATGGATTCTAGGGCTTGAACTCAGGTCCAGGAAGTCAGGCTGTGGGGTGTTGAACAATCTCACCACCCCCAAACCATGTTTTAAATACACAGAGTGTGTGCTAATTCACTTTTGTTGCTGTGCTAAGCTTCCACAGCCAGAGCTACTTACAGAAGAGTTTGTTTTGGCTCACAATTCTGAAGGGAGAGCCCAGAATGATGGGGACAAAGGGCAGCAGGTGGCCAGAGAAGGAAGCTAAGAGAATGCGTGTGGGGTTGTCAGGTAATGCTTCCTCCGGCAAGGATCCACGCCCTAAAAGTTCTCTAACCCCCAAGAAGCACCGCCAGCTGGGGACCAAGAGTTCAAACACATGAGCCCGTGGGGTCATTTCTCATTCAAGCCACCACATAGGGTAGGTCACTTTAAAGGGGCGTACCGTGGTCAGTCCTGGAAATGAACCCGCATCCTTACCTTTTGTGCAATGCAGACCTCCGTCCCCTTTGTCTACCCGAACTCTAGACACACTTGAGCTGAGCAGGCCCCAGGAGTCATTTCTCTCTCCCCTTCAATTAGCACACTGTGGTTCTCACTAGACAACCGCTTCTCCAGCAGCAGCTGGTAACAAGGAAGGCAGGGGATCAGGTCCTATGCCTCGGGTGGGATGGGCACACAGGAGGAGGGGCTTCAGGGCTCAAACACTCATGAAGATGCTGTCTCCTTCAAGTAAAAGGCTCTTGGTTCTAGCTGCCCAGGTATTGCATAAATTCGAACAGTTTTCTTAACTGCAAGTGTATAGGGGCAGAAATTTTATCTCTTATTTAGCATATAATTTGCCTGTGTAAAAGTACAATATGTGCATTATAAATGCTACACAAACGTGAACTGCTAGAACAAATTTTCAGAGAAAGGAAGGGACACATGTGCCTTAAATTCCACTGTGATAAACACCATGACCAAAAGCTACCTGGGGAGGACAGGGTCTGTTTAGTCCTATGGCTCTAATATAATTAACACTCCATTATTGGGGGAGTCAGGAACTCAAGGTGGGACCCTGGAGGCTGGAAGGGAGGCAAAGAAGGAACGCTGCTTACTGGCTTGCTTTTCCTGACTCTCAGCCTGATTTTTATACATCTTAGGACTCCCCACCCACTCACATCAATCAAGGCTGTACCCACAGGCTTGCCTATAGACCAACTTTTTTTTTTCTGGTATTGACATTTTTTTTTTTTTGTTTCGGACACTATATTCTGATTACAGTTTCCCTTCCCAGTTTCTCTCAGCCTCCCCTCCCATCTGGATCTACACCCTTCCTGTCTCATTAGAAAACAAGCAGGCATCTAAAGAATAATAATAAAATAACATACAATAAGATAAAGCAAAAACAAATTGGAATAGGACAAAATAACCAAACATAAAAAGGAGCCAAAGAAAAAACACAAGAAACTCATATAGATACAGAGACACATATGTTTGCATGGAGGGGAATCCCATAAAAACACAAAACTGGAAGTCATAGTATATGCCCACAGGACCTGTAAGGTTGTTTTTTTTTTAAGGGGGGCATACTCTGACAACATTATGAGATAAATAACCTCCAAAGATGCATTGAGGAATGCATGTTGTGTTGGCCATCTACTGCTTGGCATAGGACCTACCCCTAAGGGGTTGTGCCATAGTCTCTGTGAGACTGTGTGTGCCAGTCCTGTTCTGTTGAGAGGGCCTTGATTCTCTGGAGTCCAATATCCCCTCTAAGTCTTATACTCTTTCTGCCTCCTCTTCCAGAATTCCCTAAGCACCAATGGGAAGGATTTGATGGACACACTCCATTTAGGGCTGAGTGTTCCAAGGTCTCTCACTCTCTGCACACTGTCTGGCTGTGGTCTCTGTATTTTTCCCATCTGCTGCAGGAAGAGACTTTTCTGATGATGGCTGACCACGGAACTGATCTATGAGTACAGTAGAATGCCATTAGAAGTTGTTTTATTGCTACGTTCCTTTAGCAGAAGAACAGTTTTTGGCTTTCCTCTAGGTCTCTGGCCTATCTACTCTTAGGTTCTTGGCCACCTGAGCAGTGTTGGGGATGGTTCCATCTCATCGAGTGGGCCTTAATTCGTATCAGATGTTGGTTGGTTACTCCTAGAAGCTTTGTGCCACTATGGCACCAGCACATCTTGTGGGCAGGCACCATTGCAGATCAAAGCTGGGTTGTTGGTTACCATCCTCTTTTGGTAGTGTGCAGAGTAGCTTCCAGAACCATGATACTAGTACATAGGATGAAGGCGCCAAGTAGGCACCAGCTCATCTTCTAGGTGCTCAATGAGTTGTGTAGATGTTATCTTCAGCAATAGGGTCTTACTGTCCATTTGTGGAGAGCCACCAATAGCCATGACTATAGCCTGGGTTGTTTGGGGTTTCTAATGGGACCTTTTCGGCCAATAACTCAAATGTAACCCATTCCTGGTATTAAATGCATCATTTGGTGATGACAGATGTCCAGTTGGGATTCTGTCTCCCCTGAAATTTTGATGATCTCATTCAGATTGTCTTCATCTATGTATTTATTTTAGGAAGCTTCTACTGTATTAGATGTCCATATGACCTCTCAAATGGTTCTTAGCTTTAGCTGCTCCTCCCTCTGGTCCCTCCATTCCCTTCCCTTTTTTCTCTCCCTCCCTGTTTGATCCTCTCATTAGAGTCCACCCATAACTATCCAGTCTATTTCCCCTTCCTAAGGAGCATTATTCCACCCCCTAGTCCCTTCCTCTCTACCTAACCTCTGTGGTTATGTGGGTTATAGTTTGCTTATCAGTGACTTCACAGCTAACATCCACACGTAAGTGATATGTACCATTTGTTGTCTTAGGGTTACCATTGCTGAGATGAAACAGCATGACCAAATGCAAACTGGGGAGGAAAGGGTTTATGTGGCTTATGCTTCCACATCATTGCTCATCATGAAAGGAAGTCAGTCACCACAGGAACTCGAGCAGGACAGGGACTCGGCAGAGAAGGAACCTGGAGGCAGGAGCTAAAGCAGAGGCCATGGAGCAGTGTGCTTACTAGCTTGCTCCCCATGGCTTGCTCAACCTTTCTTATAGAACCCAGAGTTGGCACAGTCTACCATGGGCTGCGACCTTCCCCATCAATCACTAATTAAGAAAGTGCCCTACCAGCTTGCTTATCTTCTGAAGGCATTTTCTCAACTGAGGTTTCTTCCTTTCTAATGACTCTAGCTTTGTCAAGTTGACATAAAACTAACTAGTACATTTGTCTACAGCTCAATCTTAGGGAGACGTTTTCTCAATTAGGATTCCTGCTTCCCTGACAGCTTTAAGTTGTGTCAAGTTGACAAGACCAACAAGCACAGAGCACTTAAATTCTGTTCCTATTCCAAGGATTTTGTAACATACCTTTATTAACAGCTAGTTGTGTGTTGATTCCATACAGTTAATGCTCAGAAGTGCTGAGTCATCTCTTCGGTAGATTAAATGCCACAAATATGAATCAATAACCACTCTATTGGACCTTCTCCCTTCTGCATCTTTCTCCATGCCAAATTACTTTGCCATCATTCCTCTTCTTCTTCCTTCTCTTCAACAGTATCTAGTGTATTGCCCACAATATCTTCAAATTGACAACCTTCTTGCCTCATGCCCTGAGTTCTGGGATTACAGGTATAGGCCACAATGTCCGATTATGATGATTCCTTCTAAAGAGTTATACAATGGCCTTTCAGCTAGGAAAATAGAGGCAGACACTGGCTTAAAAATCACCTGGGATTTGCTTCGGTCAAACACAATAATAACTGTGGATCTGACTGTCATAATAGAAGTCTTTTAAAAAAAAATAAAGTATCTTACGTATCTTTAGAAATAGGAGGCATGGCACACCCTATAGGGCTGCTTGGAAAACCCAAAGGTTGGTTAGGAACCCGCAGGAGCAAAGGAAAACCATGAGACTTCGTTGTGTTTTTCATAGGAAGAAGAGGGCAGAACAGAATGGTTCAAGATTGATCCAATGGAGTAATCTTGATGAGTTCTGGGGGGGGGGCTAGAGCTGTCCCCAGCTGTCTGGTATTTAGGTGGTGATTGATTAGGACAGGGAACTGAGGGCCACAGTGCCAGAGGTCAATAGAGGAGGTGTTTGGAGCTGAGGCTCCTGATTGGTTGGTTGCCAAAAAAGGTGCACTCAGGAGGAGTGGTTTGTGGGAGCATCCCCACTGAGCTACACCTGGTCTGGCTCTGGTGCTATCACCTAGCCCCAATCCATCTTTTGTTTAGCAGATACCCTTTATTTCTCCTGTCACCCTATGTGAATCTTACCTGAGGGCTCCCCAAGGACACAAAGCCTGTGCAAAACTTGGTGGGGGGAAATCCAAATCCCCCCTTTTATTTTGAATTTGCACTTGGCATTGTCTTTTTGGAAGCTTAAGCAGGTTGTTTGGAGCATATGGAAATCAACTGGCTAAGGTGTAAATTGGAGAACAATACAAGAAACCCTGTGCTATAGTGGTATATTACTTGTGCTTTAATAAATAAAGCTTGCCTGAAAATCAGAAGGGCAAATCAGGCATACTAGCCAGCTGTACAGGCCAGGGAGTGGTAGTACACACCTTTAATCCCAGGACTCACTCTGTGAGTTCAAGGACACCATAGGCTACTAAGATTGAATCTGTGTAAAAGAGTAACAGAGTTCACACAAAGGTGATCCCAGTACTTGGAATCACACACATTTAATCCCAACACTAGGGAGGTGGAGACAGGAACAATATGGCTGGGCAGAGAGAGGAATATAATGGGGAAGAGACAGGAACTCAGTGGAGTGTGAAGTTTGAGGGTTTGTGGAGACAGGATCTTGCCCCCTTCAGTCTGAATGAAAATTTGGTAGAGATAAAAGGTGTCTCTAGTGGTTGACTGCTTTGCTTTTCTGATCTTCAACTTGAACCCCAATATCTGTCTCTGGGTTTTTATTATTTGTGTAATACTGGGCAAAATGATAGCAGTTCAGTCCTTAGAGGCTGGATTCATCGTGCATCCAAGAAAGGCTAAATTCACTCTTGAGGTGCTTCTGAGTTTTCTTTCTGTAAAGTTTTGTTTTGTTTTGTTTTTGGCCCAACAAACCTCTCCGCCAATGCAATAATCCAAATCAAACCAAATCAAACTGAATTAGAAAAAGCCCAGGTTTAATGGATGCCAGTGCTCCCCCTGGGTGGCACTTCAGACTCCCCTCCCACCTCCCCCTCCCAAATCCCCCAGGAAACCAGGGAGAGGGAGAACTGGAGGGCACTATGTGAGAGTGGTCTTGATCCTCTCTGGGGAGGAGTCACCATTTGGCGGGCTTTCTCAGACGTGGAGTCTGGACTGTGGCAACTCCCAGGGGAGGGGGCTTGAAATGGAACTTTCCACCAACGTTCCAAAATGAATGCTGGGAGCTGGGGTGACACTTCCAACTAAACACTTTCCACATACCCACAGGAACCTAATACCCACACTGTGACAGTTGTTTGTCGTGTGTAGAAAT